CATCACTGGATGATTTTTTATTTTATTGATTTTTTTTTTTTTTAAGAAAGAGAAGAAGGGGGGGGGGGGAGTGAGAGACAGAGAGAAACATTCATTGGTTGCCTCAACCAAGGATCAAACCTGAAACCTAGGTATGTGCCCTGGCTGTGAATTGACTATCTTTTGGTGTATGAGTGACATTCCAACTAACTGAACCACTTGGCCAAGGTGCAATAAATACTATCTTACACACACACACACACACACACACACACACACACACACAAAATACATATTGCTTTAATGTATAAAGCATTACATCCCTCTACCTCAAGAATCTTCCTGAGATATTTATAACCTAGGTAACTTTTCAAGGTATTTAAAGTGGGAAAATTTGACTACAACAAAGATTTTCGTGTACATCTCTGCATGGATACAAATAACATGCAAATTTCAAATGGGGACTACCCACCTATTCATTAAATACTTCTTAGTACTATTAGGTAATAGTTCAGATTATTGAGTTTATTAAAATTTCAAAAAAAGTCATAAGATACATTTATCTTTAAAGTTTATAATTAAGAAAGTTAGCAAATTCCTGGGGCTTCCCTCACTTGAAGCTGAATTCCGTAATCCTTGTTTAGGTTACATTTTTCTGAAAATTCTCTCATGCCCTCTGCTGTTCATTTACTGAATATAAATTATTAAATAAAGTAAAGTATTCATGGGCATTTACATATTGAGTCACTTTTAGGAAACAATATATACTATGAAATTAGTTAAATATTTTAAATTAAAAATGTAATATGTTTCCTACTGAAAATACACACACAAAAAAATGAAGAAATAATTCATTATCTCACTACTTAGAGATAACAATTGTTATCAAGTTGTATATTTTCTTTTGGAATTGTTTCTATGGAATATATTTTTAAATATAATTTTATGTTAAAATACCATCATTATTATTATTACAAAATTGGGATCATATTAGACATACAACCTGGTATTCTACCCTTCTCACTTAATATTTCTGAGAGCAGAAGTTTCTTCTATCCCTGTGGGGATGGGGTGTGTCACCTGCTTGGTGTTCCATACCAATCCACACCAACAGGGTGATGTGCCCCATTTCGACAGGGATCATATCCTCACCCAGAGGGTAATGCACCCCATTTCCACAGGAATAGAAGTCCCTGCTCTCAGGACAATCCTAGGCCTAGCACTAAATATCTGTTCATTTTGATTGTTTATCTGTATCCTTTATCATATCCCCTAATCAACTGATAGATGTAAGTTAAATATTTCTCTGAGTTCTGTGAATCATTCTAGCAAATGAATCTAACTTGAGGGGAAGGGCATGGGAATCTCCAATCTGTAGGCAAATCAGACAGAAGTTGTGGGTAACCAAGGGACCTACAATTTGTGATTGGCATCTGAAGTGGGTGCAAGCAGTCTTGTGGGACTGAGCCCTTAACCTGTGGGATTTGACATTATCACCAGGTAGGTAGTCTCACAGTTGAGTTAATTGTAGGAAACCCAGCTGGTGTCCCAGATAATTGCTTGTTATGGGGAGAAGCCTCACACATTTGATGACCAGAATGTCAGAAGTGAAGTGTTGTGAGTGTGGGAGTAGTGTGAGGGTAGAGGGGACACACACAGAAGGAAAACTGTAGATTTTCCCTTTACAATTATATTATGGAAAAATTGCCATATTTTTGAATAGTCTTCAAAATATAACTTTAAATTATTGCATAGTATTCCAGATATATACTCATTTCTGTAACACCCTCCTATTTTTGAACACTTAAGTTGCTTCAATTCTTTACTACCATAAATAACCCAGCAAAACAAAATTCCTTGAACGTGTTTTTTTAATATCCCTAACTTTATGCTTACATTACATTCCAAAAGCCCAATATCTAGGTCAGAGATACACATATTTTAAGGTGCTTTATGTCTAATGCTAAACTGGCCCCTAGAAATGTTGTAATAACTTACATTCCCACCAGTAGTATATGTTCCTGACCACAGGAACAGCTTTTTAAAAAAGGAAGATGTAAAAATATCTAACAAGTAAATTTAAAATAAGAGGGGACATTTATATATGATTCTCCACTCATTTGATGAATATTTTTTTCCAAAGGTGTCAAAAAGATAGGATCTTTTGATAAAGTGGTAAAAGGGCCAGATCCTTTAACTGTTTAATCTTAAACTTTCTGAATTTGTTTTCTCACCTCTAATGTGAGGATAATAATACTTGCTCTGCTAAACACAATGTTTTGTGAGGTTACCCTGAGATGATACATGTGAACATGCTCTGAAAACCATAATGTCATACAGATGGAAGGTAGTATTTTTATTAGTCATTATTAACATGAGGCCAGATTTGATATATAAATCATTAGACTTTTTAAAGTATCAATAACATTTTTTAAAGCATCAATACATTTTTTTAAATCAATGTTTTTCCATTGATTTTTAGAGAGAGGAATGGAGAGAGAGACAGAGAGAGAAACATCGATGTGAGAGAGAAATGATTGGCTGCCTTCTGTATGCTCCCCAACTGGGGATCCGAACCCTCAACCTGAGTATGTGCCTTGACTGGGAATCAAACCTGTCACTCTTCGGTGTACAGGATGACATCACAACCAACTAAGCCACACAGGCCAGGTATCAATAACTTTTTAATATCTTGTATTAATCTTAATTATCAATAATTTTCTCCATTTTCAAACTTATGTGATCAAAAAGTAATTTTTCAATTATCTTTAGTTTTATTGTATTTACGTCAAAATAATAAAATCATTTTCTCATATAGGCAATTAAGGGTCAATTGCCAATTCCATTTACTTGGTTTGTCTCAGAAATTATCATAGAAACAAAATGATCTATTAGAAATTCCTATTTAACCTAAAAATATAAGGCACGTGTACAACAAATTTGAACACATTCTCAACTTGTTTAAACCAATACCTTTTTTGAGTTCTTTTTCAAAGTTTTTCTCCTGGGTTTTCATTAAAAAAGACAGTTTGAAGTTCAGACAAAATGACACAAAAGCCAAGAATATAACCAGTTTTTAGTGGGAACTTGGTAAACTTAAAAGCTAGTACCTATTGTGAGCCTTCATAAGAGGAAGAATAAGGAAGGAGGAAGGACTATAATAGAAAGGAGGAAAGAATAACTTAAGAAAGTACTAAAATTTAAAAAAGGTAATGGGTAGCAAAGAACCCTGTGACTTGGGCCTGTAAAGGCTTTAGCTCACATCATGAGGAATTTAGCCCACATCTATCACTCTAACCCCCAGTAATTCTGGTTATTGCACTTGGCCAAGGGTGTCAATTTCTTTAAGGCATCCAGTTTCTACACTTGATATATATATATATATATATATATATATATATATATATATATATATATATATATATATGCTTTTTTACAGAGAGGAAGGGAGAGAGATAGAGCTAGAAACATCGATGAGAGAGAAACATCGATCAGCTTCCTCCTGCACATCTCCTACTGGGGATGTGTCCGCAACCAAGGTACATGCCCTCGACCGGAATCGAACCTGGGACCCTGAGTCCACAGGCCGACGCTCTATCCACTGAGTCAAACCTGTTAGGGCTACACTTGCATTATATTAAACATCATTGTCTGCAGTGTGTCTTTGCTGAGAACTTAGAGAATAATTTGTAGGAGGAGGAAGTGGCACTGAAAAGTAAAAATAAACAGAAAAGGAGAAAAAAATTCTTTTTCATCTTTTTAATTACCCACAGAATAATAAAAGGTAAAAGAGACCTCATAGAGCATTCAGTACAAATCCCTCTTCATCTTAAGGTTGAAGAAACAGATCCAGGTGACACAGATAAACCAGGGGCAGAGCCAGGAAAACAATCAGTCCCATGTTCTTCCCATTGCACTACGTTGACTCTCTTTTTTTGTATCTTATTTTAGTCCTAAAACCCAAAGATTATTTGTAGACAAGAGATCAATGCTGCTGCCAACACAAGTCCTGAACTCTCAGATTTTTCTTGGTAACTTAAGAGTCAATGCTATCCCTAAAATAAAAATACAGTCCTTTACATTGTTGAAATGGCCTGCCCATTATCTTCATTTGATCCTTACAAAAACCTTTTGAGGCAAGTCAAGGAAGGTATTACTGACCTCATTTTAAAAGCGAGCAATTAAACACAGAGACGTCCCATGACTGGCCCAAGATCACTTAGAGTCAGAATGAGGTAGGACTCTAACTCTATTCCAATTTATTCTGCCAAAGAGGACGTTCCCTCAAAGAGTCCCAATCTGGCTTTTTATCCTCTTGAAGGGATTCTCCCTCCCAAGATACCCCGTTCCAGTTTAGTGAAGTTTGGACCTAACCACCCACTGAGGGTACTCCTAGTGTGCATCTAGTTCTCACCTTTAAACTCGCAGTTTCTCACTCCTTCCCTTGGTACTGATCTTTCTTTAAGCTCCTGTGTCTCCGCGGGTTATGGCCTTCAAGGCTCACTCTAAAGCTCCACTCTCTCCAAAGAAGTCGCGTCCTCGGTATCCACGGAAACCACACAGCCTTGCCCACCTTGCCCCTCCCGCGCTTCCCATTGGCCAGCTGAACTTCCACGTAACCCATTTTTCCGTCCCTCCAATGGCTAATGGTTTTGAGGCAAAGTGCACGCGCCTCCGAGCACAATCTATCTAACACCTGCTCTCACTAGCTTCCACCCTGCACATTGCCTCCTGGGATATGTAGTTTCTGAGCACCCCGAACCCTTGCTGTTTGGCTCCCTTTAGAACTACCTATCCCATCTGCCTTTGCGAAAGGGGCGGCGGTAGAAGAGAAGGCCGGGTGCGGGAGGGTACGCACTGCTTTGAAATTGCAACTTGGCGCTGAGGTGTCAATTCCCGGACACCCTGAGCAGGCTTGTTCTGCTCCAGCAAGTCCCCCCCAAACTTCTCTCTTTGGACTTGCGCCGGCGCAGGACCAAGTCGTCTGGTGGGGGTGCAACCGGCCTGTGGCTGAGGTGATCTGAGACAGCGTGAGAGGGGCGCGCCATGTTCGCCCCCCGCTGGGGCCGGGGGCTCGGCTGCCTCCGGCTCGGTCACCTCCGAGTGTGGGCCGGCGAGGCTGCTGGGCGCTGGGCGTGCGGGGCTCGTCAGGCCCGGCGGCACGGCTCGGGGGGCGGCGAGCGCCGGCCGGGGTCCGAGCCGGGGGTCGCGCCGCCTGGCCCCGCGCGCCGCGCGCTGAAGGAGTGGGCGCTGCGGGTGAGCCCGTTCGGGCGGCTGCGGGCGCGGCTGCCGTGCCACCTGGCCGTGCGGCCGCTCGACCCCCTCGCCTACCCGGACGCCGACCGCGTGCTGGTCGCCGTGAGCGGCACGGAGCGCGGGGCGCCGCACCTGGCCGGCCTGCACGTTCGGTACGACGAGGAGTCGAAGGAGGTGGCCATCGTGTCGGACACCATCGACCCCCAGGCGTCCGTGGAGGTGGACGCGCCCCTGAAGTTCGGCAAGTGCAGGGGCGTGAACGCGGGTCTGGGCCACTGGTAGTGGTTGTTTTGGACCTGACTTTCTAACCTCATTTACGGCTGTCCCCTTCACAGGCTTCCTTTTTTTTTATTTATTTTTTATTTTTATTCTGTTCTACTCTGAGGATCCCAGTGCTGGTTACAAATTCGTTTCCCCAACCATAGACGTTTTATAAGTCGAATGGAAACATGATTTGGATTCATCTAAGTCAGATAACATTTGTGGAGCCCCCTGTGTTCTTCTTTGGCACTTGGTTCCTCTTTCTGCCACTGCACCTTGTCCGTAGAAAGAAGGTTTATTGTTAAGGCGCATGTTTCTTGATCACCCCTTCGGTGGTATGGCCGTCCGCCCGTCCGTCCGCCCGCCCGCCCGCATTTCCCCTGGCTTGTGGGTCTGTCCCAACACAGCCCGGGTATTGGATGCTCCGTTACTAACCTGGACCACGTGCTCGGCTTCAGATGGGCACCCAGCTGCCTACCGATCCGTCTCCGTTCATCATGTGCCGTGGGGAGCAGGTTTTGAAGACAAACACAGAGCAAGGCTGCCCGGGAAACTTCCGTTGGCCATGCCTGCAAGATTTCTTTCCCACGTGTTTGGGTTGCATGTTATTTCCCAAATGCAAGCCAACACTTTCCCTAGGAAAGCCGCCCCAGGTGCTCCTTCCTGAGACTCTCGGACATTGTTGATGATCAAACGAGCATCAGCTATCTACTATCTATAAAAGTAGATAACTGTTATTGTCCCCATTTCACATAAGGAAGTTGAGAGAGAGAGCAAGTTTCATAAAGTATGTACTTATTGTCGGTGAACAAATAGAGAAAAAAAGATCCCTGCCTTCATGAAATGTATATTCTAGGGGTTAGATCAGGAAATACATGCCTGTCCGCTCGGGGATACAAAGTGGTGGAATGGGGAGTCTAACTGGTTGGCGTCCGCTGAGCCACTGTGCTTTTTGCTTCTCAACTTCTTCCAGCTTGTTTAGACGAATAAGAGACCCTTGACCTCAACATGTAACAGTCTGGGGTTGGGGCAGGTTGTAGTACAAAATAGACTTGGGTATTGAGATAGAGACGCACAGAATTTTATGTCAGCACAGATAAAAATGGAACTTACCTGTGCTGGCGATCCCAAACCTCGTGGTTTGTTGATTCCTCTTTTTAGCGCAAGAACCCCATTTCCAATGGACTGTTTCCATGTGTCGATTGCATGGGCCCCTTAAATCAGCATGATTCAGTTTTTTTCATACTTGTTCCTCCAGTTTGTCTACCAGCGGTTCTCAACCTGTGGGTCGCGACCCCTGAAAATACATCCTGCATGTCAGATGTTGACATTACGATTCATAACAGTAGCAACATTACAGTTATGAAGTAGCAACGAAAATATTTTTATGGTTGGGGGTCACCACAACATGAGGAACTGTATTAAAGGGTCGCGGCATTAGGAAGGTTGAGAACCACTGGATTTCAGTGACCAGGTAAGAGTAGCATTACTGCTGTTCAGTGTCCCAGCTGTGGGCAAACTACGGCCCCGCGGGCCGGATGCGGCCCGTTTGAAATGAATAAAACTAAAAAAAAAAAAGACCGTACCCTTTTATGTAATGATGTTTACTTTGAATTAATATTAGTTCACACAAACACTCCACCCATGCTTTTGTTCCGGCCCTCCGGTCCAGTTTAAGAACCCATTGTGGCCCTCGAGTCAAAAAGTTTGCCCACCCCTGGCTCTAGCCCGAACTTCTCTACCTACCGAGTGAGAATGTTTCCTTCTTCCCCTGTCTATCAAACGCTGCCTCAGGTCACGCCTTAGGTTGTCACACAACTGGGTAAAAAATTTGTAGTTACGTTTGCATCCATGGAAGTAGGAGGTAAAGTTGTCTTTTTATATCTTTTAGACTAATCCCAACCAAAATATTGCTGTTATTTTAAACCTTTATAGAGTAAAGACTACAGTATACACAACTATAGAAATTGATTTTTTTATGCCATAACTGTTGAAATTGTGGTATCATACCCCAGTATTTTGTGTTTGGGGCAACATAGTGCTTATTACTCTAGCCTAGTTTAAGGGAAATCATCAATAATTTTTTGAATTAGGTATTAAATATCAGTGTTTATTTTTTAATGTTTTGTACAGAGACAACCACGATTACACCTTAAATTAATAGTCAAGAGTGGCACCTGTGACTTTTTATTTTCCAATTTTCTTTGGATAATACTGTTATTTATCCACAATTTTGAGATTTTAACACTGCATATTACTAGGTTTTTCCAAGTTGTTCCCATTTTTTATTACTGAAAATACTTATGTAATATCCTCTGTTTTAGATACAAAAGATTAGAGATAGGATTTTGAAATACTAAGCCATGATCATATATGCTAATCCACACTACTGCAAAATGCTTTTAATTTGGGGGAGGTTTGGGAGCAAATTTTTGAAATGTCATGAATATAAGGAAGAATAGGCTAACTGACTTACCTAGTTTATCATAATGACTTGTTAACTTGCTGTATTCTTACTAGAACTGTGTGTGTGTGTTCTCTCAGTGGGAAAGAAGCTTCTATGATCTTTCCCAGGAGTTCCGTTAAGATTTGGAGTTTAAGACCTCCTTTACTTCCCTTCCACATTACTTTCTCTCTTTAGATGACATTGCCTAACAGAAATAACTGCTCTATTTATAAGAACTGGCAGGAAAAGGCATTACATTTGTTCCTGTTGCCATGATGGAGACTCCTTACCTTTAGAGAGAGTGACTGACAACTGTGCTCTCTCCAGGGTTCAGTAATATTGTGAACTTAACTGAGGAGCTGGATTTCTAGGGGGTATTCAAACGCTTTGGAGCCCATTAACCATCGTACTAACTTGAACTTTCTTTTTTCATTTCTAGATTTGAATATCAAGTCTTCAGGGTCTGGCTGTATAAAAGTCCAAAATATTGAGTGTGAGAATTGCAAAATTGAAACTGAGCAGGGGACGAGCATCTTACAGTCTGTTAAGGTATAAGCATTTTCCTAATTTTGTGTCAGCATTATTTACAAAACACACACCTTAAACTATGAACTGCAATATCAGACTAAAGCTGTTATTCTGAATATCATTTATTATGAATATTAAGTATAATTTATTTATCAATGAGAAATTACTTGTAAAAAATTTGCATTGAAGTCAGTTCTGTTCTGAAAGTACACAGGTTGTAGCAGCTTTGAAGGTTTTTTTCCTCATTCCTTTTAGATTTCATTTTGAATTCTACAATGAAACTAATAGTACCTTTAAAAAATATTAGGTTAATCCTTGAGTTATCTCTTTTTATCAAGGAAGAAATTATGAGGCACTAAGAGATTGAGGAACTCATTTAGGTTTACATAGTAATAAACTGAGCTGAGATTTGAACTTGGGTCTTTCTGATTTCCAAGCTCATCATCTTTCCACTTTTTTTTTTTAATATATATTTTATTGATTTTTTACAGAGAGGAAGGGAGAGGGACAGAGAGTTACAAACATCCATGAGAGAGAAACATCCATCAGCTGCTTCTTGCACACTCCCTACTGGGGATGTGCCCTCAACCAAGGTACATGCCCTTGACCGGAATCGAACCTGGGACCCTTGAGTCTGCAGGCTGACGCTCTATTCACTGAGCCAAACCGGTTAGGGCTACCTATTTTGTTTTAAATATTTTTAAAATTTGTAATCTTCACATTTTTGGGGGGGAATTAGATAAGCTTTAAATTATAAGACTAGCCCAATGTTTTTGAGCCTTCACGTCTTTGAAAATCTGATGATTGTCTCAGAAAAGAAAAAACACACACATATATATGAAATTTTGCTTACAATTTCATAGGTTTCACTGACTCTAGAAATTCAGTAGGCTTGGTTAAGAACTCTTGATTTAAAATATTAGTTGTTTTGGAGATACTATTTTCTAATGTTCATCAATTAGCTGCTTGATAAAGACTATATTATATACCACTTGACTTCAGACTCATGTCACTATGGACATGAAGTAGTCTATTATGCTATAATACAGAAAAACTTGTAAGAAAGATTCATTTTGACATTTTCACTAAATTTTTTTTAAAAATTCATTTCTGGTCTAAGGTTTTACAACCCCCCCCCCCCGAATAAAGCAACCACAAGGTAAAGTGGTGGTTTTGCATTTTTTACTCCTTATGTTTTAGGTACTCTTCTGCTTTTGCTGGTCATATTGGTGAGTTTGCTTTTGCTATTTTTTTCTCTCTACTATTTACCTATTCTTTTTTGTTGTTAATCCTCACCAGAGGATATTTTTTCTGTTGATTTTTAGAGAGAGTAGAAGGGACTGGGAGAGAGAGAGACAGAGAGAAACATTCATGTGCTAAGCCACATCAATTGGTTGCCTTGCGCATGTGCCCAAATGGGGCCAGGGAATCAAATCAGAATTGAACCCACGACCCTTAGGTGTGCCGGCAGATGCTGCAACCACTTAGCCATGCTGGCCAGGCATATTTACCTATATATTTTTCTTTATCATTGTGGCAGAACTGAAGACGTATGTAAGTGATAAGGTAAAGAAGCTACTCTAGTAAATAGACCAAACATCTACTGGTTCATATACAACTATAATTTATTTCTCACTTGTGTCCAAAAGTGTGGGTGGCTTTTTTCTATTTAGTGATTCTAGGTTCCTTCCATTTTCTGGCTCTACCATCTCAAAGAACCTTCTTGTAACCTACACTTATCTGGTGGAAGGGACAGATCATGGAGAAAGCACACCAACTCTTCTAAAAGCACAAGCCTGAAAATTGCACATAGCATTTCCACTTATATTCTCTTGGCAAGAATTTAGCAACACGTAAGAGACAATCTCTTCATGAGCCCAGCTATACTCCTCTATTTGGGGAGGAAAGTGGATTTTTGTGGACCAATAGTAGTTTCTGCCACAGTTGACAATTGTGACATCAAGTTACACACACACTCACTCTCACTGTTTTTTGTTTTTTTAAATCTGGCAGAGGAGGCAATTTGTGACTGCTGTTTTATTTGTGCTTAGAGGAATTTTCACTTAATTCCAGTTTCTGAGGTGCTGTGCTGAAAAGTTTAACAGTCAGTGGGCTGTTATACTAAGTGTGAATACAGTATATCCTTCTGATGAACCCAGCCATAAGAGTGTGAGTTTTGAAATTATATAGAGCTTAATTCTGTTAGTTTTTTTTTTTTTCCTAACCATGTCGCCTGATAAAATTATTTAACTTTTCTGATTCTTGGATTTCTCCTTCTGTAAAATGGGGAAAATATGATACCTATTTCTCTGAGTTGTTGTGAGGATTAAATGATAATTAATGTAAAGTAGTGAATATTATATTTTGATGCAAAGAATTGCCAGATAAGTGCTAAATGTTCTTATTAATAATGACAAATATTAATAACAGTGAACAGTAACAGTGGTTATTGGTGTTATCCTCCTCATCCTTTATGTGTAGTTAGCCAGTCAGTGGTCTTTGATTCCCAAGTTCTTTTTCAGTGAAGCTACTGGAATGCCCAGGTAGCTCTTTTCCCCCTTTGAATCCACATGACTTATTTAATCTTCTTAAAGCAGTTGACATTCTTTTTTACTTGATGTTATTATTCCAAACAGTGCATTTCTTTTTAATTCCTGGTTCCTCTCTTCTGTTTTATTATTATTTAAAAGGAAATGTGTAACATGATAGAAATCTTATTAGTATAAGTCAAATTTATTCTTTTTCTCTATGTATTTTTGCATTTGTCTTTCAGAGTCAAAAATTATGTGTTCAAACGAAAGGAGGCAAAGTGATCTGTCTGGGAACAATTTATGGAAATATAGATATTCATGCATCAGATAAAAGTGTAAGATTGACACTTTTTTTAAAAAAGTAATTTCAGCTTTACATCAAGTTGGCTCATACAGTGGGTAGGTTCTACCAAATTTGTGGCATAACATTCCCTTTTGCTGCATTTTAGTTCATTAGCAAGTGTTCATTTAAATTTCAAATTAAGGTGATTAAATATTATACAATTTAAATTTTAGTTTGTGATTTAAGTTTTTTGACAGTTATTTAGTTTCTTATTTAGAATCAATAACATCTTTAAATACTCAATATTTTATTCTAGTTCTGAAGAGATTTTTATGATTATGGATTAAAATGAATTATTAAATAATACCACCATAACTGGAATTAAATTCTCCTTACTAGTATGTGTTAGATTTATTTGAGTATTTTTCCAAAACCTGTTTACTTTGCTTTTAGGCAATTGAAGGATGATTTTCAAAACTCAGCTTTCTTCAGTGTTTTCCACAAGATGGCACCACTAGATAGCATAGCATTACCGTTCTCAAAAATTTTTATTAGCCATATGCATTTTGGTTGTTATAGGAGAATTTGTATATTTTTAATCAACTTTTGTTGCTTTCTGTGATTTAACATAGTATTAAGAGTAAAGGTAAATTTTGAAGTATGAATTGTCACAAAATTTATAAACATGATAATGTTTTAAATCTTTGAGAAACATATAAATCACCTTTTGTTCTGCACTTACACAGTTTACAAGGCTCTTTTGTTATACAATTATTAAAATCCATATTCAGTTTTATTCTCAGACTAGAGGCCCGGTGCCTGAAATTCATGCGCGGGTAGTGTCTCTAGGCCTGGCCAATTGATCAGGGCCAATCGGGGCCTTCCTTCCCCCAGCTGCTGGCTGCCGGCGGGGGGCCTTCCTGCGTTCTGTGCCGCCCCTGGTGGTCAGCACACGTCATAGTGAGTGGTCAAACTTCTGGTTGGTCGAACTCCCGAGGGGACAATTTGCATATTAGCCTTTTATATAGGATAATTGGTAGGGAGGAGTTGTGAATGTATCTTATAGGTAGATTACTGTTAGCATAATTAAACAAGGTAGATTATAACACTAATTGTTTCTACTGTTGTCACTTTTATTTTCTATCCTTAACCTGTGAGAGAGTGTTTAAACCCACACATTTATTCTTTAAATTAATCTAGTATTGAAAGACACTGCCTTGCCTTACAAAGCAGCTCTTCTGAGATGGCATTTAGTTTCATCTCTCAGCATCTGAATTTTTCTTCTTGCTCTTGTAATGGCAAAGCTTATCCAATTTACATTTGCCTTTCAAGGGCTTATGGTCTTAGAGGTACAAAAGGGAAATTGGACAACTTTATAGTTCCTTCAGACTCTGTACTTTAAATGAAAGCTCATGCTATCTGAAATGATCTAAGTGACCAGAATATTACATATTGACATTCAAATACAAGTATCAAAGAAGAATTTAAATTATATCTTAATTATTTGCTAATTTGAATATTTTGGCTACTGTTTCCACTCATTTCTTTCTTTCAACTTTCATGGTTTATTGCATATTCATTTAGTCCCACTTTCTATTATGCTACTTTGTTTTCTAGATTGATTGAGTTTTGTGTTGAATCAGTCTAGATCAGCGATTCTCAACCTGTGGGTCGCGACTCCTTTGGGGGTCGAAGGACCCTTTCACAGGGATTGCCAAAGACCATCGGAAAACACATATATAATTACATATTGTTTTTGTGATTTATCACTATGCTTTAAATATGTTCAATTTGTAACAATGAAATTGGGGGTCACCACAACATGAGGAATTGTATTAAAGGGTCACGGCATTAGGAAGGTTGAGAACCACTGATCTAGATTTTTCTTTCTAACTTATAGTGTTCATTTTAAAGCATATTTCTAAGTTTAAGGAGTCTTATATAAAATAAATGCTTATGAAATACTAGAGGCCCGGTGCATGAAATTCGTGCATGCGGGTGGGGGGCTCCTCAGCCCCGCCTGCACCCTCTGCGATTTGGGATCCCTACACCTTTTTCTTATCTAGCTAAACTCTTCACATTTAAAAAAATTAACTGAAATACCACCTACTCTAGGAAATCCTCTTTGAACAAATCTCTTTATAATCTGTATTAAGTATTTTCATAGTATATCATTCTTTTTCTTTAGCAGCAACTTAGGGTAGATGCAGTGTGCTTCTCCTTCTTGCATCTGAATTTTTCTTCTTGCTCTTGTAATGGCAAAGCTTATCCAATTTACATTTGCCCTTCAAGGGCTTATATTTGGTTCAGTTTCTAGTTGGCTCCCTGCTTTTTTTTTTTTTTTTTAAGCAATAAATTTGGGTTGTGATAGTAAGCCTCACTTGTAATCAAGCCTGTAGGTCTCCGTATCTGAATATTTCTATAATAGCTATCACTTTAGCATACCAGAGATTGTGTTCATTTATAGAAAATAACAATAAATGTCACCTGATCATTTGATCTTCTAGTAATATTTTATAGAAAGATGTATTATTCTAGTAATTTAACTATTACAAAACTGAGGCGTGCAGAAATAAATCACATTGAACAATAAAGAATGACTCAAATATCAAAGCATAATACACTTAGGGCCTCCCTTGTCCTGTGCCTCGGATATCATAGCATATTACACAGTTCACGTGGAACTCAGTTTTTTTTAAAATAGGAAGGGATCCCATACTCATGAAGCAGCTACTTCCACACATATTTTTTTCATTTAATTCACAGCACATACTCTGTACTAATTGTTGGAAAATCATCCTAGCAATTGCCTCTGTTCCTCTCTGTATTGTTTCCTTACATTCTGATGTCATTACTGCGCTTTTATCATCCACTCGCTCTAATAAGATTGTGAATTACTTAAGAGCAGAGATCATGACTTGAGCTTGTGTGTTCCCTGTCATGGTGCCTAGATAAATACTCAAATGCCTACAGTCCAAATGATTGTGATGAGAGAGGCCCACCATTGCTGGAGACCTCTAATTTTTATTTAAGTGGCCTCACTTGTTCTGCACCTTTACAGATGGGTGAGTAGTGGCTGAGGGAATTTGAGGAAACCCAGACAGAATTCTCCTCCTAAAAGATTTTGCTAAGCTGGCGCCCAGGACCATTGGGCATTTGTCCAATTAAAACCCGGACACACAGCAATAACAAAGGCACTGGTCTCCTACTGCTAATGCCTAGGGATCAAACCCCAGCCCGCAGGAACTCACCCCCGCAGTCAGGACCTGGCTGCTGGGTGGACCTGGGCTGGTGCTCCTAACTCTGGAGAGAGGGAGACTTCCCGTGGCTGCAGGCTAGAGGCCCTGGACTCCGCGCCACCTACCCAAACAGGTCCATAGCGTAGGCTGGTCAGTGGAGCGGCTTCTTTGCCTGGGATCGGGGGGAGGCTTGGCCTGGCCTGTTCGCCCCGTGATGGGCGCCGAGCTGGGGGGCGCTGGCACATGCGCAAGTGCCACAGGGTGGGAACATCGCTTGGTGCCTGCGCCCGTAGGCCCGGATTGGCCGGGGGCGTTCTGGAACCCTGGCTGCTCAGGGCCTATGTGCGGGCCTACAGGCTAGGAGCGGCCTGAGTCCTGAGGATGTTCCCAGGACTCAGGCCACTCGGTGCCTGCATGTGCAAATTAACCCGCCATCTTTGTCGGGTTAATTTGCATACTCTCCTGATTGACTGGTGAGTGTAGTGGAGGGATGGTCAATTTACATGTTTCTCTTTTATTATATAGGATGTTAACTTTTAATATACTACTTTCACAGACATATGCTTTGCATATTTGAGAAGCAGCATTGTGAATTGGTTAAGAGCACAGAATTAAGAACTAAACTACTTGGGTTTCAATCCTGGTTCAGCTACTTACTGAGCTCTTTAACTTCAGACAAATTACTTAATCTCTATATGTCTGCTTTTTCTGGAAAATGGAATAATAGTAATGTACTTCACTCTGAGGGTTGTTATGAGGATTAAATGAGTTAACACAGACAAAGTACTTAAAATGATGTCTGGCATGTAGCTAACTCTAATATAGTGTTTACTAGAGGTCCACCGTGCGAAATTGCATGCGACCTAGACCTAGTGCACCATGGGGCCCAGCATCAAGTCCCCGCCCACCTGCACATGCCTCGCCGCACACGCAGCCTGCCTACCTTAAAAACCGTGTGGACGGAGATAAGAATAGTTTCCTGCCCTAACCTTTCCTTCTCAAGAGCACTTAAATTGTCCTTCATTGGAAGATGAGAATTGAACAGAGCAACACTTGTTCCCATGAAGAAATCCTATGATGTTCAACAGGTGCCTTTTGGAGTTTGGTCATTACAGCATCAAGGCGTCAAGGCCATGGGGTTTTTATACTAGAGATTATAATGATGGTGATAAAGGTAAATGAAACACATTTAACAAAGACAACTTGACCAGTCCTGGATCTACCATTAACTTTACTGAGACTTCTTTATTCATAAAACAGAGATGGTATTATTTGGTTTCCCCAGTCAACAAGATTATGAGAATCAAGTGAGCTCTGAAAACACTTAACAGCATTCTTTACATGTTATTTTATATGGAGTTGCTGTTTTTAAATTATATCAGTAATTTCAATACCCTAATTTTGGTACAGAGAAGATAGAAATTCATATGATTGGTGGATAAATTAATGACATAGTTGTTAGTTGACCTCTCTTTGTAGGTTGGACTGCAAAGCTACAATGGTTCTTTAAAACTTGGTTTTCATTACATGCAATGTTGATTTATAATAACTAAACTTATGAAAAGTTTTTCCTCTCATTTTCTTAGAAAAGGGAATTAATTATAGTAATATCTCTCAGGAAGGTATTGATTTTGGGATCTATTTTTTCTCTTTAAATAGCTATTTTCTATTAATAAGCAAGCTATATAATTTAATTCAAAGAGTCTACTTATGATTTGTTTCATTATCATTAATAACTGTAAATTAGAACCTCAATATTTTGCTGTAAACTGTGATGTCCTAAGTTTAATTGTTCTAATTATTATCTGATATAGTGCATTATATTAGTGAATTTTGAATTTGTTTGAAATTAATTTTATAGAATAATCAGTTAAAATTACTATATTGTAGTGGGGGAAGTATACTTTCACTTGCTTTCATTTGCTTTGGTGGGGCAGTGGAGGGTATATTTTTAGCTTCCTACAGAGTAAAATATTTCCTGTTTAATGAACAAAGTAAATCCTTGCATTTTCCAGATATTCATAGAGTCTCTTAAAGGCTATTTGGTTATAGGGAGCGTCTAATCAAAAGTGCCTCTTTGCCAGTTCAATTTAGATTCAAATATTCTCTCAATGTTTATCTGTTTATCTTTTGGTGTTCCCTAAAACAGCTTCTGTGTCTGTAAAAACTGAAATATTCCTACTTGCTATCTACTTTGTAAAAGCTTAGAAAATTTAAAAATATGCATAAGGCAACTTTTCATGAAGAAATTTTGTAGGTAAAAGATAAATTTTTCAGAAATTTTATACCTTCACTATAACACTGAAGAATGCCAAACATTGTATTCTCACAAATTTGAATATATCTATCTTTGGTTGATGGGATTATTGAAACTAAATTTAAAGTGAAAATTTCCGTGATCCAAAATTAGCTTAGAACAAACTGTAGTAGGTAAAAAAGCAGTTGTGTGTGTATTATCCTATATAATAAAAGGCTAATATGCAAATAGACCAAACGGCAAAACAGCTGGTCGCTATGACGTGAACCGACCACCAGAGGACAGGTGCTCAATGCAGGAGCTGCCGCCCAGTGGTCAGTGTGCTCACACGGGGAGCACTGCTCAGCCAGAAGCCCTGAGCCTGGCTCATGGCTGGCGAGTGCAGCAGTGGTGGCAGGAGCCTCTCGCGCCTCCATGGCAGCACTAAGGATGCCCAACTATCAGATATCCCCTGAGGGCTTTCAGACTGCGAGAGGGCGCAGGCCAGCTGAGAGATCCTCCTGAGTGCACAAATTTCATGCACTGGGCCTCTAGTATATTTAATAAAAGTCCATTAAAAAAGAAAACTATATATTTCAAATCCAGAGGGCCAAATGATTCTAATTTACTTCTGATAAGAACCACTGGGTACTTTTCTTTCCCTTTTCATATTTGTATTTGTCTTCTCATATTTTAGTATTCTTGAAATTCAATTCTTATTAAAAATATTTTGAATGCTTAACAGTTTTTGAAGGATATATTAGGACAGGGGTGGGCAAACTTTTTGACTCGAGGGCCACAATGGGTTCTTAACCTGGACTGGAGGGCCGGAACAAAAGCATGGATGGAGTGTTTGTGTGAACTAATATAAATTCAAAGTAAACATCATTACATAAAAGAGTACGGTCTTTTTTTTTTTTTTAGTTTTATTCATTTCAAAGGGGCCTGATCCGGCCAGCGGGCCATAGTTTGCCCACGGCTGTATTAGGAGCTGGTTATACCAGTGCCCATGTGTTGAAAAAACAATGATGTTCTTTCTTTAAACACCCCAGTGTAATACATTAATTTGACCCTGGGCAAAACTGGCAAGCCTTCCTGGTGATTTCAGTTTCTATATTAACAATTTTATATTAACATTCATTTTATGCTTAAAAACATTTGTTTAAGATACTACAAAGATGATTTGCAATTCTAAACTAGCTATCTTCATTTTATATTGTGCACAATATGTGAGACATAAATGCATACCACATTTTGCTAGGGAAACTTAGGGATAAATACAAAATTCCTTCCATCTTGTTCAGTGGAAAGCTACTGCCTTATTAGATGTAAAGTGGAAAAATTTTAAAATTATAGTGCATTCACTGCATTAAACAACGAAATGAGAAAAATCATGATAGTCTAATAAAATCAGATAAAGTATGCTAAAATTCAAAATCCCTTATTTAAATAGCAACAAAACAAATTTGAAGTATAAGAGGACTTCTTTAATGTGGTAAAAGAGATCAAAAAGGTATCTATAGCAAACATCCTACTTGATACAATGTTGAAAGCTTTCCCTCTGAGAACAGGAATAAGATGAGAATTCTTGCTGCCCCATAGCTTCTATTCACCACTGAATTATCACTTGTAGATAATATAATTATGCATGTAAAAACATGTTTCTAATTCAGATAAATTATTAAAATTAGTTTAGTAAAGTTGTTGGATTTAAGGTCAAATAAAAAAGCCAAATTAGGTCAAGTAAAATTTTAAATATCTTTTATAGTAGCACTTAGAAATATCAAATAGGAGTAAATGTAACAAAATATGAAAAATTACATAGAAAATGTAAAACATTAAGAGAAATTAAAGATCTAAATAAATGAATATAATGGGTCTATTTCACATTCTACAGAGAGTGCACTGTCACTTTTAATCTTGTAATTGATAGAGTTAGGGAATCAAAGCCAATAAAGTGATTTGGTACTAACTTTTTATGTAGTTACCTACTACTTCTGTACCATTTTGGCTTTTTACCAGTATTTGTTTTATAATGAACTAATTTGAGTCTTTCTCTTACTAGACTGTGACCATAGATAAACTTCAGGGAAGTTCTGTTAATATATCTACTGAAGATGGTTTGCTGAAAGCCAAGTATCTTTACACAGAATCATCATTTCTATCTTCTGCTGCTGGGGATATTACATTAGGAAGTGTTCATGGTAAGATGACAACGGCCTAATACTTCTCAGACTTTCCACATAATGTACATTTTAAGAGATGACTCTTTCTCTGTCATTAAAGGATCTGCCATTAGGAAGTTGGCCCTCTAATTGATTAATACAGAGTAACCATCTTTTAAAAAACCCATAAAATAAAATGACTTATAAGCTATTTAATTTGGGCAAGAAATTGAACATTATGCTATTATACATGAAAGTAATAATGATTCTGATTTTTAATGAATTTTCTTATAAAAAGAAAGCAGCAGTAAGGAAATATGAGCAGGAGATATTTAGAGGAAAGCACAAATAAATAAAAGCAGTGTTAAAAATAAAGATGGGTTGTCAGTGGTTGCTTTTATGTTATGATAGGGAAAGGTAAGTATTAAATAAGTTAATGAAATACTTGGAATCTAATTATAGTAACTTAGTGATAAGTTACTAATTCTGACTAAAATATTTTATGTGTGTTAGTACTGGCACCAGGTCTTTTCAATACTCTATGCTGTTTTCAGTTTTCTTTGATTAAATATCATCTTGTGACTATCAAAACATATCTCCGTGGACAAGTAGTATTACTTAGTTGATTCATTTTATTGAAAGAAGAGAATATGGTGAAGAAATATGGCAAAGGTCATGATGGTAATTTGTCACTCAGCATGCCTCTTAAATTTCCACATAGCAGATGATTCAAGTTTAGGCATGTTTCCTGAAATATAGATAGATAGAATTAAATGCCTTTTGGGCCATTTTCCAGGGAGTGTAGCCTGAAACATTTTCCATATATAGACCAATCATTTAACTTTTATCGGAAAGCTGAATATTGGGATCTATACACTTTGGCAAAACTTCCAGATTTTAGTAGTGAGCATTAATTATTAGGTGGTACTAGAAAAGCATGGCTAGTGCTAGCCAATCTGTATAGCAAATTGACAAATAGTCTTACAGTTTAAAAAATCTTGTCCTAGCCATGTGGCTCAGTTGGCTGAGTGTCGTCCTGTGCACTGAAAGGTCCGCTGGTTCGATTCCCAGTCAGGACACATGCCCAGGTTGCCGGTTCCATCCTGTATGAGTGGCAACTGATAGCTGTTTCTCTCTCTCTCTCCCTTCCTCTCTCTCTGCAATTAATAAAAAACATGTTGTTGTTTTTTTAAATCTTAGGAAATGAGTATTTACATTCTTGAAGTAATTCTTGAGCCTCAATTTAATAGTTGTACTTCATCAACCATTATTACCAAATTAAGGTATTACTTAAGCCCAAAATAGCTTAAGTCCAATAGCGCTATATCCAGATAAAGCAAATAGTTTTGTTACTTATTCATTTATTTTTTACTCAGCTGTGCCTTGAATAGTTCTGATAATTTGTAACTTTTCATATTTTAACAATGACTTTTTCATAAGCATTGCATTTCTGTCCATTATAATTAAAAGTATTGTACTTAAGCCCTCCCTGGGTCTGTCAGTTGGTTGTCAGCATTGTCCCAGGCACCAAAAAAGTTGGGAGTTTGATTCCTGGTCAGGGCACAAACCTAGACTGTGGGTTCCATCCCTGGATGGGGTGCATATGGGAGGGAACCATTGATGTTTCTCTCTCACATTAATCTATCTTCTCTTCCCTTCCTTCCTTCCTCCCTCCCTCCCTCCCTCCCTCCCTTCCTTCTTCCTTCCATCCATCTCTCTAAAATCAATAAGCATATCCTCAGATGAGGATTTTTTTTAAAACGTACTGTACTTAATGTATTGAGTAGCTTTTAATGGTAAAGCAATTCTTTATCAAGTCAAATTTAATTAACACCCATGATAAGAACAACTTCTCTCTGCAATGCCATGTTTATACTAAATTCATTAATGTTTAATTTTTAATTTTTGCTTTCTTTTAAGTTAGGTAATAATTGCATTTGGTACAGTTTGTCATTAATAGTTTACATGATACTAAAACAGATGCACAAAGGCAGCCCTCAAAATATTCCAGGTCTCTTGATTATTTAAAGTAGCTGAAATAAGGAAACGAATTGTAGGGATAAAAGAGTTTATCATTCCTTAGTCTTTGTAAAGCCTTTTATATTTACTGACTTTACTATGAAGTTAAGTACCTTTCCTTGGGAGATTTAAATCTGGATCAGACCTATATCATCTTTTGTCTTAGATTGGGTTTCTTGAAAGCAGACTCTAAGATGAAAATTAGAGTATAGCAATGTACTAGGGAGGCCTTCAATGCCATGCAAAGAAAGGAAGCCCAGTTCCCATGGAAGTTGGACTGTGATGCAGTCTCAGCAACCCCAAGAATGAGCTCGGAAGCTGGGGTGATCCTCATAATTGTCTCAAATTGAGGTAAGGAGAGCTGGACCTTTATATCCCCAATTATTATGTGACCGGATGGGGACTGGACCCAGAGCAGGTCTACCTCAGGCTGGCCTGTAGTGTGTGGGTTATTGACTTCCTGCAGGAAAGATTTCACATGAGTCCAGGTGATTTTGAGAGTACATTTATTAAAGCTGCGGACAGTGGAGCAAAGGAAGGACTTACAGTTAGAAGAAATAACAGGAGAGAGCCTAGGTCAGTGGTCGGCAAACTTCGGCTCGCGAGCCACATGCGGCTCTCTGGCCCCTTGAGTGTGGCTCTTCCACAAAATACTGACTTCTGCACGTGGGCCACGAAGTTTCAATCGTGCTGTACGTGCACGTCCGCACGTGATATTTTGTGGAAGAGCCACACTCAAGGGGCCAAAGAGCCACATGTGGCTCGCGAGCCGCAGTTTGCCAACCACTGGCCTAGGCGATGCTCTGCTTTGGCTCCATAGAAAGTGAGCCCTAAGATAGGGCTACTGATAGCTCACTGGGAAGTAACAGTCACAGTGACAGAGGTGAGATAAGGCAGAGCTGCTGTTAGTTCACTGAAAGTCGGAGAGAAAGGGGCTTAGAGGCAGGTTCAGGTAGTAAACCCAGGACGAGCTTCTGCTACCTGCTGCTCCCCTGGTTGCAGGTCTCGTGGGGACCCTCAGAGTTTAGGAGAAAAGAAGTAAAAAGTGCTCCAGAGAGTGCCCGCCCAGCATCCTTTCTCTTGAGGATTTTTATTTCTCTTCTCGGGGCCAAAATCTTAGGGGAGGGTTTCAGCAGAATATTCATCAGCTTTCCAGGTGCATTTTAAATATGCTGATACATCAAAATGAGTGTATAAGGGAGTTTGGGATTATTCTCTGGTCAACTTCACTCCTTTACTTTTATCTTGGGTCTGTCTGTCTGTAATCGAGTTTTTGGTATTTGTTTCTCTGACTTCATCCATCCTTGGGTTTGGCTGGCACAAATAGCATTAATTGGGTCTCTGTGTTCTATCTCCCTGGTCAGGGTGACTTAAGCTATTTATCCTCTGGTCAGAGAGGAGAGGTATCAACCATTTGTTCTCAAGTGCCCTTGGTTAGGAAAAATAAGGTCTTGTTGATTCACTAGCTGGCTATCAATTGGTTAATTTCTTTGGCCTTGTTTAATGATCTTGTCTCAGTTTCCACATTCTATTTGCCCAGGAATTTTCCTAGCTTCTTATTATCCTGCCTCAATTAGATGCAAGCTGCCTCAGGAATGAGTGTAATCTTGGGCCAAAAAGGCTATTTGAGCCCCTAAGCAGGCTGACAGCTGAGGGCTGTCTGCCAGCATTACTCCTAACAGTTAAGAAAATAAGCCCTTCAGTTTTACAAAGGGTTCTGGATGATGAGTCACAGCATCCACTACAGTTACATTTATTGATTTATTCAACACACAGTGTGTGGCAAACGTAGGTTTACAGTTGTGACTACACGAAGCACAGTTTATTCTTATATTATTTTTTTTATTATTTTTTTTTATATATATTTTATTGATTTTTTACAGAGAGGAAGGGAGAGAGACAGAGAGTCAGAAACATCGATGAGAGAGAAACATTGATCAGCTGCCTCCTGCACATCTCCCACTGGGGATGTGCCCGCAACCCAGGTACATGCCCTTGACTGGAATCGAACCCGGGACCCCTCAGTCCGCAGGCCGACGCTCTATCCACTGAGCCAAACCGGTTTTGGCTATTTTTTTTATTAATGATTGTATTATTTCCCATACCATGACTGTTAAACCTACTTTTATCCCACCCTGTATTTTCTAGTAGTGAGTAATGAGTAAGGTAATTAATGAGTAGTAGTTACTCTTATTAAAGTTGGTTGAATCACAGTTATTAAGTATTTATGCCTTCTAATAAAAAAGAAACTAGTTTATTCATTGATTCAACAAATATTCCCCGCTGCTCTGGCCCTGGAGATATAGTGAGAGAATGGGTACTTGGGTAGTTTGTTTTTATTTTTTATTTATTTATTTATTATTTTTCTGTTTTATTATTATTATTATTATTAGTTAAGGTATTACAAATGTGTCCTCATCCCCCCCATTAACCACAACCTCCCCACCCCCCCGCCCCCCCGCCCCGCACACTCATGCTCCCATCCCCCTGTTGTCCATGTCCATTGGTTTGGCTTATATACATGTATACAAGTCATACAAGTTTATCCCCAGAAGAGGGCGGGGGTAAGGGGGTAGTTTGTTTTTAGATAAAAGATTTTGTTACAGTATACTATTTTGATTTCATTCTAAGTTATCAAAAATTAGATTGTAAGTATATTCTATTTTGCTATTTGAATATTTATGATTTTAAAGATTTTATACATATATGTGAAATATATTCACATGTATTCTAAATATATTTTTTGAACATAAACATATATATAGTTTTCTGACTCCTTTAGAGAGAAAGAAAAGCTTCCTTGAAATAGCTTGTTGGGATTGGTTTTTTATAACATAATTTAAACATATTGATTAGGTTTAATATGTAAGAACTAGTAGCCCGGTGCACGAAATTTGTGCACATTAAAAGGGAATTAATTAGCAGAAATATTTTAATATTGCTGTTTGCCCTTTCTCTGTAATAGAAGTGTGAGAGATGAAAGGAAATTAGTAAAATGTACATGAAAATAACATATAGAT